TGAATAGCTTCTATTATTTTTCAAATGCACATTGTTATGATATTTTTTGATAATTAATTGATACTTGACTTTATACATTTTTTTAGATATCATGTTTTGTTAATTGCCCTAATCATTATTTTACAATTACACTGCTACTCACATATTATAATTAAATATATAATATTTTCTTCTATTAGACGAGACATGATTTTTTGTATTGCAATTGTGATAAATTTGAATGTAGTGAGATTGAGAATTGAAACTTAACTATAATCTATTTATTTTAATGGTTATTTGTTATTTTCGTTAATGTTAGATAAATATAGCTTATTTATACTTGTGCAATTTATAAATGTAACTTATATAACATTAACGTTTTTAATTTCTGTTGATATAAGTACTAACATAATTTATTTTAACTTACTTTAAATTTAAATTTTTCATCAATTTCATTGATGGAAGAAGAAATTAATTCTTTTCCAGAAGTAGGCCATAATTTTGATCCTTCTAAAACATAATCAATACCTTGTTCAGCAAACCAATCACGTAATTGTTGACGATTTAATTCACTAAACAGTAAATTTGAACTAAAACATTCAAAAGAAATGTTAATATTTTATGTTTATTTTTAATTCATAAAATCTGTGATCCTTACTTTTGAAAAGAATAAATTTTAGTACTGGAAAAGAAACTTGAACTATTTTCTAATATTTGTTCATTTTGACAGTCGTTTTTTGAATCAACTAAATGATAAGCAAATTTAAAAAAAAAACAAGAAAAACTAAATTAATAATTAGAATATTTTATATATTTGACAAGTTAAACTGGAGATTAGTTTATATTTTAAAAGAAATGTAACTTATCTTAACACATACAAATATTTTAATAATTGTGTGACAATCACTAATCAAATTTTAAATTAAAGATTACTCTTAACTTTTCTAATGCACAATGAAAGGAATATGATTGTAGATAATAGTATTCATAATCATTATTATATTTTGAATACAAATTTACCTAAATTTGGAGCTGAAGAACATTTGTCAAATTGTGATTTTCTGTTCATTAAATTTGCACATGATTCAGTAATATCATTTAATAACTCATTATTATTAATTTGGTTTTCATTTTTCTTTTTTGATATATTATGTCGAGGCAAACTACAATAGAAACGTGATCCGTGGTTTTTTGAACGATGAAATTGAGGATTCTAAACAAAATAGTAATACAAATTATAATAGGAACTAAACTTAAGTGTTAAGAACTATCTATGAATACAACTGGTTTTTATTTCTAAGTGAAAATTTATATAGGTAAATATAATAATTTGTTGTGCAGGTATTAGGTAATTACAATAAGTTGAATATTTTAAGTACTAAAACAGTATTTAAATAATCATGAAAATCAGAAATACAAAAGAGCTAGATGAGTCAATCAATATTTTACAAATATTATTTTAACTTTAAATAATATATTTGGTAACGTTAAAATTCTTAAATACATAAAATGTCAAAAATTACAAAAAATACATTTTAAGTTCAAGTAGATACTTTTTGAAACATCAGATTAATATTATAATCTATCATAAAAATGGATTTTATTAGTTAACATATTTATGACATATTTTTAAAACTTACTACCACTTCTGATGAACATGATGTCATGGAATTCTGTGCATTTTGATTATTTATTATCATTTCCTTAAGCTCCATGTTTTCCTTAGTTAGCCTAACATTTACTAATTTTAAATTAGTTAGCATAGCAATAACTTCAAGTTTTTCCGTTTCTAGTTTTGATTTTAAAATCATTTCCTTCAAAACAATATCATAATTATATTATATCCTAAAAAGTAATTAAGTATACAATATGAATATTTACCTCTTGGAGCTTATTTTCAGCTTTTTTTCTTAAATCATTTTGTTGCAATAGATACTTTTCTAGATGGTTTAATTTTCTTAAAAGAATATCAACTTGATTATTTAACATAGAAACTTGGAGCTTAAATGACTCTAAATGATCAGAATTTTCCTAAAACAATAAAAATAAAAATTAATGGATACATTTTATTTCAATGTTAACTTTAGTATCTACTTGTTGGATAAAATTGTTTGATACAGTCTGTCCATTTGAATTAGTAGAACATTTTGAACTTGTAGTTGGCTCTGAAAAATGTATTTATAGTTAGTTTATTATAATTCATACAAATTTTAATAATGACCATACTTTTAAAAATATTTATAATGTTAAATAAACAATACATATACATATACTACAATACATTATTAAACTATTAAAATTGTTAAGAATTCCTTAAGAGGGTCATACCCACATGTGTTGAATCAGTCTTACAAATGAACAACTTCAAACATTTCAAGTTCAAAATAAATATTTTAATGTTATTTAAAAAAATTAGAGTGAATTGACCTAATAAAAATTGTAAAAGTTATATCTAAAGCATCTTGAGGATTATATTAATTATTATTTATTTTTATAATTTAAAAAAAATGTAATAAAATGTAAAATGTTTCTAAATGCTTATAATTTGATTGCAATTAAAATACTAACAAAAGCCTCCGAGATGACCTGGACAATCTTACCATTACATTTCACAATAGATCCATTTACCTTAATTTTACAAATGACAGAGTAAATTGGATATTATAATTCTTATTGTAACAGTAACTCAATAGTTTTCAAAATGTTAAATGTTCAACAAAAGCTCTAGTCAAAATTCATAACATATACAGGGTGTATTGAGGAGAATTTAAAAATATTGATTAGAACAAAAGTTATTTCGCTTGTTTCATTTATCAGGTATTCCTGTTGCATCCTATATAATATTGTTTTAATTTATAATGATTTTTAAAATAAAATATGAAATTATTATAAATAATAATTTTTCAAAATTTAGAATCAAAAATTAATTATATTATATTATATGTTATAATTATATTATGTAATAATAAATTGAAATAAATGTTTGTTTATTTTAAAATGTTAATATGCCAAAAAGGTAATAATACATTTTGTAGAAACCAACCAGCTTACTTACACTACTTGGAATTTAATAATGAGTAAATACTTATTTGGTAATGTAAATGCTTTAAAAGTATCCATGCAAAACATTTAAATTATAAATTTATAATATACTAAGCTATCAAAAGAAATGAATATGCCAAAATAAAATTCAAGTAAGTGTAATACTACGTAAGTATAATTAACTCTAAATAATAAAAAATACAATAACAGCATCTACTATAGGTATTAAAATTACAAGTAGGTAAACTGAATATTACAACTAGTATATAAATTAATTCAATGATGTACCTCTCACAAATATATTTAGTTTAGACTTTGAATTTATGAAACAACTATCTAAACACGCATTGCATAATTAAATAAAACAAAATACAAATAATAAATATTTGAAAACAATATAATGAGGAAAAAATGTATAAATCTAAAACAATATGCAACAAATGTAGTGTAATCAAAAAATTTAATTAAATCTCACCAACAGTATGGCTTCAGTAGACTGAATTTGCCTATCAATTATATTATATGAATATCAAGCTCATAATATTCTTATGTTTTTAATTAACTGGTTTGCATAAGGTTAATCTTGTTAAGGTATTGCGACAACCTTCCAAAAGAATGCTACCCAATATCTAATAAATGTAAACAAATAAAGATACTCAAATTTGGTTTTTACAAATTATCTAAAAAGGTTTATTCAAATAATTTATTATGCTTCAATAAAACGACAAAAGACAGTAAACATTAATTGTGTATCAAATCAACATCAATATGTCTCACATTCAAAATATTAATTGTAATTAGGTACTTACTAATAATAATGACAAAATTACTAAGTAGTAAGTGCTTAATAAGTTTTTGAAGTTTTTAAATTTTTACTTAATATAAGTATTATCAACATAATTAGTATTAAGTTATATTATATTGTAGACAGAAAATATTTAAAGTTGCAAACAAGGCATAAGTTTCATAGAAAAGCCATAAACCAATTATAGTTAATAGGCATGATAGGACAGCGAGACAACTTTTTCAACATTAAGCATGTCATCTGCCTACAAAAACAGTAGAAATATAACCAGAGAAAACATAATTAACAGAAATTTTAAAACTTTGGGACTTTACATCAATGAAGTATAATTACTTAATGTTTATTATCATCATTTCCGAGACGAAACAACGAGTTTACAGACTTTCAGATCAACATACCAGAAGATATAATTCCATCCATTTTTTGTAACGCTCCTTCCAACAGTCTGATGGCATCAAAATGTGTTTTGCTGAGCTTGAGCTCTTCGCCTTGATCGTTGTTCATCATTTGGTCGTAGCAAAATGTCCGTCAATGTCCTACATCAAACGAGTTCGTTTTAGTAATTCTTGTATATTTTATTGCAAAAGTGTAAAAAACAAAAATCGTAATAATGACAGTAATAAATAATCAACGACTTATTGCCGTAGTCATAAAATTAATAATACTGATGCCGGGTTTAGAAAATATTTTATTATTTTATTTAGGTAATGTTATATAATCATAATAATAATAATTAACATAACATTAAAGGTATCGTTAAAATGCTTGGAATTCCGTCGCCCGTGCCGAGAACGATAAATTTGCTTTGTAGATAACACTATGATAACAGCAGCAATAGTTTATTTGAAATCACGGACTAAACGAAATATTATTATCTTAGTCCATGTTTGAAATTAAATAGATGATAACAGATCGCGTGCGTTAAATTGCATTTGATTGCATATCAAGGAGTTGTAGTACGGCACTGTGTTTCTGTTTTAATCATAATTAATTATTATATTTGTTTTTTTATTCATAAATCAAAACAACATTTTAGGGCCGGGCCACACATAGCGGTCGAGCCGCAGCGGTTCAACCGCCAGATTACCGTTCACACATGCGCGGTCGAACCGCATGCGGTTATACCGAAATATTGGGTGATGGAAAAATTATTATATTTTAAAACTTAGTAATCTCAGTGTCACGTAAGGTTGTACGTTATTGTAATATTATTAACTATCAGAACAAAATGGAAGTAGATCACGAACGACTAGTTCAGGTTTTGTGTGTAGCAGAAGCACTTGGTGTGATACAAAATCCTGTGCAAAGGCCACGTAGACAACACTGGGTTCACCCGATGAATGATGATAAGGAAACAAGTGGACGATTTTTAAAGTTTTATAACGATATAAGATTATATCCAGAAAAGTTTTTCTTATATAATCGGATGTCAATCAAATCATTCGACGAATTACTTAAAAAAGTACGTGACCACATATCAAAGAGATATACACCTTGGCGGAATCCTTTGACCGCAGAGGAAAGATTAACCATTACACTCAGGTAAATTACTTTTATAAATTAGATACATGTATTATTATATTTATTTATTATAAGTATTAATTAAATGAAATATGAATAAAAATAAAAATAACATAGTCGTATATTCTAACTAAAAATCCAAAATATTTAAATCAAATATAATAATAATATTATGGTAATATTAACTGTTAAGTAAAAATGTAAGTTAAAATACAAAAAAAAAATGTTGAACTTCTGTAATAGGTACTTAAAACTATAATTAAAACATAATTTAATCTTGATCGTTTGGAGAATAATTTTGACTATGAGGGTAATTTAAATAATCATACTTTGTCTGTGGAAAAGTTAATTGTGGTGTATTAGGATCAGTAGGAGCACTTTGTGAAGGATACAAAGATTGTGTGACTGCAGGAGAAGTATAATAATGAGCAAGATGATTATATGGATTTGTTATTATAGGATTAGTTTGATTAGTTTGAGATGAAACCTGAATATTACTATTCAAATCGAGATTCTTAAAATACTGCAATACATATAATTGAAAATCTAATTTCTGTGCATTATTTAAATTTTTTACGTATGGTAAAAAAGAATTGAGCATAATTTTATCTGGATCTGCATTTTCTGTTCTATGTAAAAACTGAAGCAATTCTTGTTGAAAAGAACCATTATTTTCATTCGATTTTTTTTTCTTGTTTTGCTTCGACTTTTCCGATGGTTGGTTTAGAGTTGACGAAGTTGATGGCTCACATTCTGTAGCATTATCGTTAACACAACTATTATTAGCTAAAGAATCGTTGCATACGTCTATTTCGTCTTCTTGCATACTACTGGTTGTCCTATAAATAAAATAAAATTATACCTTTCAAAAATATAAAGTTAAATAAATATAATATAACCACTCAATCCACAAATAGTATCGTGGAAAACCAGGCTGATATTATATATAATATGTTATAATTGTATAAAAATAATACAAGTAAAATATTGATTCATAATGTTAGATAAGTACGTACTTTCTTTTATTTGAACTATTCTGTAAAAACGACAATGCTGCAATAAAAGCATATGGTTTTTTTTTCTGAGCTGCAGATCCACTTCTCACATTTTTTTCTTCGCTTATACTTTTTTTATAATTATCTTTTATATTCTTCCATTTCTTATCTCGAAGTTCTTTAACTGAAATTAAATTAATTAATTTAAAACGAACAATAAAAATATAATACATTTATAATTTATAAATGTCCAAATGTAGCCCTAAAAGTATTTGAGATTTATAAATGTATATTGTATACCTACCTAACTTATATTGATTTTACAAAAATGTGTTTTGTTGTGCTTTTATTCACGAAAAGTTAAAAAAAAAATGTACACGGTCAAAATTATTGAAAATCTAATAAGTATTAAGAAGTACTAAGATCTTACCAAGTTGTTTATTTATCATATCAAAAATATTAAAAAAACATAGTTACAATATTGTTTTATGAGTAAGCGTTTTAAGTTAGAATTTTTTCGAAATTCACCAAAGTTTAACTCATTCCATTGCAGTGACCTACTATATTGTAATTTATTTACAACAGAGTAACACCCATTTGCCAACATTTTTTTTAAATTTTAAAACACAAGGTCAAATATTCCTTTTTATGAGCGTTTAAGAGCAAATTTTTTCGAAATTGGATTTTTCATAAACGGTATTCCAGGTTCAAATTTGGACAAAATTAGATATTTCAACAATAAATAAACTGGTAATTTTATTACGTATGTTCTAAATTATTTTATATTACACACTACTATATAATAATACAATCTATCATAATAATAATTCTTTATTAACGGAATAAATTCCAAATTCAAAATATTCTGAGAATTACCTACAGTGATTATAGTGGAAAAATACAAGTTAATTTTTTTTTTTTAAACGATATAAAACAAAGTATATATTATAATGAAACATGAAACATGAGCCTATTAAAGTAAATATTTTACATATAGGTACCTAGTTAAAATGTAGTAATTATTATTATTATTATTATTATTATTATTATTATTATTGATATAATTGTTATAACTATGTGTAATTTAATTATTTGTATACTAGATATCTATCAACTGGAATGACGTTTACTGCGTTACATTTTGAATTTCAAATAGGCAAAAGTACTGTTGGTGAAATAGTACGAGAAACTTGTATTGCGATATGGAACGTGTTGCAAAAGGAAGAAATGCCTGAGCCCACTACTGAACATTGGTTGGAAATATCAAATACATTTTATTCAAAAACCAATTTTCCCAACTGTCTTGGTGCTGTAGATGGGAAACACATTCGTATAAAAAATCCAAAAAACACAGGCTCACTCTTTTTTAATTACAAAAAATATTTTTATATAATTTTAATGGCAGTAGTTGATGCCAATTTGAGTTTTATTTACATTGATGTAGGATCTTACGGTAAAGAATCTGATTCTAATATTTTTAAGGAAAGTTCTTTTGGAAAAAAGTTGTATACGAATGCACTTAATATTCCTGATCCTACATGTTTACCTAGTTCGCAAGGTTCCGCACAGCCTTTTGTTTTTGTTGGTGATGACTGATGAGGCATTTGCCCTTCACACAAATCTATTAAGGCCGTATCCACAACGAGGACTTAACGACGAACGTAGAATTTTTAATTACCGTTTGTCCAGAGCTAGACGCACTGTAGAATGTGCTTTTGGAGTACTTACCAACAAATGGCGCGTATTACATACTACTATTTTAGTAAGTCCCGAATTCGTCGACGATATAGTAAAATCCTGTTGTGTTTTACATAACTTTGTCCGAAAAAGAGATGGATATAATTTTGAAGATATGGAAAGTGAATGCAACTTAGACGACATCGAGGTAAGAGGAACGGGTTCTCGGTCCAATGGAATTGAAATACGAGAAGCGTATGCCGAATATTTTGTACATGAAGGTGCCGTGCCATTTCAAAATCGAGTTCTTTAATCTGGTACTATATAGTTGGTATTTTTACATACAATTAATTTTAATTTCGGTTGTTCGTTATTAGTTTTATTTTTATGTATAACTTACAATTTGGATTACCTATAAGCACTAATTATTATTACTAAATAATTTAATTGCTCAACATTCGTTATTATATATTAATTAAATAGCCCAAAAATTTTAATTATTAATCATTATAATAAGTACCACGGGAAGAAAAATAAAACAAATATTAATACATTTATTCGTGTATATTATTTTTTATTTTAGTTGTAGTGAAGTATAATACAATACGCAGGTTGGTAGTAATTTTTGGAATATCTTTGTAAAATATTTAAATGTTTAAAAAAAATTATATTAATATAATAATTACCATTTTCGTCTTTTTGGGTGTCCGAGAGTTCATACCAGTTTCCAGTGTACATGGATTCTGCTACATTGCGCCAACAGGTATTTTTTACATTTTTGTCCATGTAATCTTTGCTTGCAATATCCCATAGGCAAGGATTACTTTCAATCAACATAATAAATTTTTCTGTGTCGAACATTTTCAAACTATTATATTTTAATATGTGTTTAAAACTCTTAAAACCACAACCATACACTACGAAAAAGTGATGATGAATGAAAATAACCAAGCCAATTCACCAAATACGAAGATGTAAAAATAAAATTTGTGTAAATCCATAGCCAATAGAAATAACTATTATTTTATATTATAATAATAACAATTATACAATAGTCAATAACCATAGGTAGGTATATAAATATAATATTTTGGACGATCGAAAATAAAATGAAATAAATAAAATAATATAAATAACCAACAAAATTATACATACCTACAAATAACACAGGTAATATAAATATGTACTATTATACCTACAATCTAAATATATTATCATATTTATTTATATAACATAATAGTAAGTGCTTATCTAAAATTTAATAATTAATAATACCATAATATATTATATAGTTGCCATGCTCGTAATGAAAAATAAAATATATCTAAAGTAGTTTAAGTAGGTATATTATCTTTATTATGTGAGGCATTTTTGTGAATGGACATACAAATTTAGCCTTCCTGGTTTGCTGTCATTAATCAATGACCAAACCATGAATCAATAACAATAGCATGTCAAACATTAATAACAAATTAACTATTGTAAGATAAAAATCTAGATGAAAAAGTTATATCTACTTAATTATCTTGATAAAAATTGAATATTCTACTCGTATATTCATATTAATCTAGATATTAATTTAGCTAGTAATCTAAAATATTCATGAATGTTATTAATGCTATCTGGACTCGACACGGCTTGAAATACATTTTAAAATATTAGATATGAATATAAAAAGTATTACGAATCGTTAAAACTACAAAATATTGTGAATTTATAACTTTAATAAATAATACATAAATATCTCTCAAAACGATAAATTCATAATCATTATTAAGTATCTTTCAAACTGTTTGATCGAGTGAAAAATATTTTATCGACATAAAGAGGATAAAAAATGCAAAAAATGTCAAAAAATTTTTGCCCCAGGTGAGGATCGAACTCACGACCTTAAGATTATGAGACTTACGCGCTGCCTACTGCGCCACCGAGGCTTATAATCAGCGTGGACATTTCAGTTATTTAAACAAGTTGTGTTACAAGTGGTCAATTGATCATAAGACTTAGATTTTGAGCGGACCTTCAATGTGTTTTTTTATTATTTATTTTTCATTCCAGTCATTACCTTTTGGAGCAGTTAAACTGCCTTGTTTAACTACTTCACCATTTTTTTTGGTAGACTGGTAGGATTCATAGTTGGTTCTGGGTCTTTCTCTACGGTCACACATTAAAAATGGGAAACGCAGACACTTTGTACGATAGAGTATTAGGGTACAATATTAGATTGGCACTATTTTTTACTATTATAGGTACATAAAAAGTTTTATATAAAAAACTCTTGGTCATAGTCTTATAAGTGATATATATACATATTTTTAAATATGTACTGTTTGGTATATCTAATTTGGTAGTGTAATAACCTATAGTTCAAAACTATATTACCATTACTTCTTGAAGAATAATATAAAAATAAAATAAATAAATAAATATTATTTATGACAGCGCCAAGTAGGTAATGTTTGGCTGTTACCAGCTAAGCTTTTAATCTAGAAAAAACTTTAATATTTATTTTATTTTTTACCTGTATGGTTGTGTACTATTTATAACATAATCTTTAATTTACTTTTAAATATAAAATTAATAAAATTATGTTTAAGACTCATTATAGCTATACAACTTGAACATTTCATACATTTTTAACTACAAAATAATTTATACATAATAATTTGATAGATGTTGTCAAAATTTTAACTTCAATTCTCATAAAAAAATCTTGATCACCTATGTATTTTTAATATTTTTAAACTAATGTTATAACAATGTGTGAGAAGCCTTGTACTTAATTATCAAGCTTTTTTAACCTAACTTATACAATTTTATTGATGTTGATAGTAAAAAAACTAGAAAAATTGAAAAATTGAAAATTTCCGTGTTCCGCACGAACACCAACAGCTCAACACGAGTCAAAATATTTTGAAAAATAGAAAAGATATAAAAAAAATAATAAAAGAAACATTTTGTGAAAATTCACGACAGCGACTGTCGCGTTTTTCCATCATCGTGTGACCGCGTCTTAACGCAAAATTGTATCGAAGTGAAAACATAAAATATACATTTCGCAAGATAATAATATTAAAATAAAAAGTATTACAATTTAATTCATTATTGTTAAGGACACTATAAGACCCTTACAGTTACAAGTCCTTAGAGTAATAATAACACATTTTCAGTTCTACGGGCAATATGACGTTTACCATATTTTGTTGTTTACGACCATTGATATTAAACTAAGTTTAATATTTATGCGTATCCATAAGTTTAATATCTATGTTTACGACATATCAGTTTCTCGGTTTTCGGTTATCATGACGTTATCTGTTATCATATTATTATTTTGGAAAAATGTAAAGCGTAGTAAATTGATACTATACTTTAACGTTATAGAAACAGACATCTAGTTTCTTAAAACAGTGCCTTATTACACTCGTGTTAATTGTTTAGATGTTCGTTTGTAATTATTAATTAATACTTAAGGGGACGTCGTACTCTAATGTGTTGTACCCGCCTTACAGTCGCATGTTAATTAAAAGACAAAAGGTATCTACGTCTAGCAGTTACATTTTTGTGTTGCAAGTTTGAATATTACAGTGAACTAACCTGTGTTCTTTCTTTGGTTATTTGAGATGAATTATGATGATTATTTAGAATTAATATTTCACGCAACCATAAGTCATAACTCACCTAAAAATTATAAAATCTCAAAAATTCTAAGATGTAACATAGATAATGCCGTTAAGTTTGTTAATAGGTAAATTATATCTAAAATAAATATTATTTGAATTAACCTCCCATAATTGAAACTTTTGAACGTACATTTTGTCATATTAAGCGTTAGACCAACATAGCAGGTACATGCAATGTCCTCTTAAATAATATATGAGAGTTGTATGTATATTGTAATTTTTAAACTAAATAGATATTAATAGTAAGTAAATGTGTATGTAATTATTGCCATATTATTATTGTCATATTATCCAATATTGTATTAAAATGTTTAGTCCGCATACATAGTTAACTGTAAAAATAGGAACCCACCTGTGCGTTAAAATGTATAATATTCATCTATACTTAATGAAATTCTTCCATTGTTTTAGACTAAGAGTCTTTACCTATGCAAAGTTTAATTCTATTGAATTATGTATTTAATTAATTATTAGACATTTTGTTAGGTACCTACACAATGATTGAACGATAACATGTGCTGAACAGTTGAAGTAAACAAAGCAGAACTACTGACTGGAAAGAACTATAGCTAAATGTACAGAAACAGTAACAACTAACAGGGTTTATCTTTTTATAATACTGTTTTATAATTCTATTTATGAAGTAAGCAATATGGATTAGGTATGTAAATAAATGAATAAAAAACTGGTAAAATAACAATATTGCTTTAAACTGATCATACTTAGTATACTAATTATATTTTTATTTCAGGACAACCTTTGACATTGATATTTTGTTTTGGCAAGTTCAAAAGCTAAACTGAAGATATTAATTCCAACTTCTATAATGGATGAATCATCATTTATACATCTAGTGAGTTATTCTTACACATTCAATATAATTAACCTCAGAGCACACTTCATGGTCTAAAACAGTGGTCGGCAAATTATTTTATATCAAAATCCAAAAATTAAATATAACAATTTTCACAGGCCAGAGCTTGAATACAACTTATTTTATTTTAAACAAAATGTATAGCTAGTAATTTAAAGTTTATAACTGTTAGGTTTATTGATTGAACAAGGTATCTACAAACAAACATTGTTTTAACTCTCAGTTTCCATTCCATGCTTCCTCAGTTCATGTTTTTAATACAAATTATATATTTTACTCGCATTCCACATAAAATTACAATAAGAGCCACATGTGAGCCTAGAATTGCAGACACCGGGTCTAAAAGATAGGGATTTGGTTAAGGAGTATTGGGGAGTGATTTAACTTATATTACAAATAACTATCAACAATTATTTATAAATAATTGAAGTTACTTTTTCCTGGTAATTACTTCAAACTACTACTATAACTTTTTATCAATACTAGGACAAATATTAGGAATATTAGGACCAGTTGACTATGTTAGAGCTTTTTAATAGAACTCTGAACTGTACTATTTTATTAACGTTTACTACTCTGTCTGTTCTGTAGGCAAAGTAAATTTAGTTACTTTTTTAATATCTTATTCAGTATAATTAATTGAACATCCTGTCATCTTATTCTAATACCAGATGGAAATATAATATTGTATGTACATCTGAAAATGATGCATTATTATGTAACTACTTAACAAGTCAGTTTTTGGTAATATATAATGATTTTCACATGTTCTTATAATTTTAGGATGTTTCCAACATAACCTAAAAAGTGTAATGTATTAATGTTACAATATTGATTAATCACAACAACTCCCTTGTACAATTTTAAGAGTCGTCATGGGCAGTATGGTTCAATTTCCAAGAAAAATATAATTTTCTAAACACTGCAGATATGCCATTAAAACAACAAACTACAATATTATAATATAGGTATGTAAACCTTACCTATCCCAAACTATACCCCGTGCCAAAAGAAAATTCACCAAACATTGACCAGTCCATTAACAAATCTGTTAAGTGGTGCTCGTCTGCCACCTAACAGCATAGGCCTTGGTGGCTTGTGCTATGGGGCACAAGAGAACTTGAACCACCCAAATTATACAACAAAATTATTAGATTTATGTACTAAATTATAATAAATTATAATTGTATATTTTGCACATGGTCTGTAATAAAAAAAATTTACCATGCTTTTCGTGTTGAGAAGTGTATCTATTAACAAATAAATAATTCCCATAACACACATCTTTTGTGTTCTGGTCAGCCTTATAAATATGAGCTACATGCGTTGACACATTGGTGAGCAGTACATGGTTGTTTGGAGTACATTTAATGTGTGCACCGGACTTTTTTTATCATGCCCTTCTTTCGTAATATTGCGTTTACTGAAACGTTATTGCATCACATAAATATGTTAGCATACATAAGCCATTAATTGACGTATATTATCAGTTTTGAAAAAAATGTAATTGTTTAATTTTATTTGTGTAAAAATTGTACAGCTCAAATAATAAATTATAATTATTTCAAGATTTTATGCTTGTTTCATACATAATAAGTAATTTTTTTGGTAAAACCTAAAAAAAAATTAATTTAGATAAATAGATACTTTGTACATGCACCTATCGCAAAATTAATATTTTTTTACTATTTCACATAGGTATCTTATTCATATTAAATATGAATTTAAACAAATTTTGTGCACCACCATGTGAGCCTCCACGAGCTGCCACTGGTCATATGTAATGACTGGTAGAAGGGCAAAGAAGTATGCAAAACTGATGTTTTCTTGATTAGAAGAGAGTATAGTTGACCTGGAGTTTATGTTTAGTATTTATATATATTTTCATTTCTTTGATAATGAAGTATAAACTGATTAAATCATTAATACTGTAATTAATATTTCTGTGTTTTTTAGGAATGCAATTGATTGTCTAGCGGCAGGCAACACAGAGAGCATGCATCATCAAACACATTCCTAATATGATATTATAATAAATTTAGTATTTATACATTTTTAACAATATAATCTCATAATACAGTCTTCATTATTGCATAATATTAATAAACAATATGATTGTTACTGAACCTAAAAAAGTAAAATAAAAATAACTTATACGTAATAGTATAACTTACTATTGTTCAGATTAAATTTCATCATTCTCACTTTCATCAAAATTAATTTTCAAGCCATCAATGGTGTTTTTTTACCTTCTGTTATTAAACTATTGTAAAATGAATGATTAATTGGTGGTTTATAGGGAAGCAGATCCACTAAAACTTTTTTCTTAACACTGTTATTTTGTGGTCTATTAGATTAATGTTTCTAAATCTTTTATGTATTCTTCAAGTCTTGATTTTCTTTTGAATGTGCTTGCAAAATTAAATTAAACTTTTTTAGTGTTTGAACGTTTGTATCTGAAATGGTTGTTCTTTTTTTAAATTTAGAGCTGAATCTTGAGCCATTCAACTTTTTCACCATTCTCATTTTTCTTCCTATTGATAATTTGTTTTTCTAGTAATTTGGTAGAAAACAAATTGTCTTCTGTAATATTTATAATATGCAAGGGTTTTTTTGTTGCAACACCATGCAAATCATTTGATTCAAATTTGTTTTAGTGATTTTTCTTGTTCTTTTATTCCTTTTCTGTTTAAATTGTTTTTTTCTTCATCGTTTTCCAAGTATTTCTTTTTTATATTAAAATTATCACAATTACATACATAAAGTTAAAAGGTCTTGGGAGGTACACATTTACTTGTAGCTCAAATATAAGCATCACCTCGTTCCCTTTTACTTTTTCTCACATTTTTTTTATCTAAAAGTCTCTTATGTGTTTTTAAATTTGTTGGCCCTGTATTTTCATCTGAAGCAGTATCTTGAGTAATTTCATTTCTGCCAACTTCGCCACCATGAGATGATCTATTCAATGCATATGGTAATTACTCGGAGTCAGAATCTTCAAAACTTTCATCATCAGTATCTAAGACATAAATTTCAGATATCAGTGTTAATAAAGTATAATAATAAATTTATATAATATTATGAAAATTTTATAAAGTGACTTACCATTTTGTAAGAATTTCGTTTATTTATTGATTGTTCATTATAAGAATTAATAAATAACAACTTAACCAAACTATTTTGTCATAAATAAATGGATATAATATTGAACCAAATTTAGAATTTCTTTTTCACAGTTGACATTTATAATACTTATGACTTTTTCATTATTTGCATATATATATTACTGAGAAAGTCAAGTTCTTTCTTAATTTTCTTTCTCTTGGGATGATCGCATAACATTTTATTGCATTATTTAAATTAAAAAAAATTTAAATACCTAACTAAAAAAATATGATAATATTTATTTATGTAGTTATTGGTTTAAATGTGTTAAAACAGAAAAGAACTAACTGGGTTCTGTAATAATATATTAATATTAGCTCAAAATAAATATATACCTATTCAGCATGCCATTCGTTTATTAAAATAAATGAAAAAAGTCATAACTTTGTTCTAAATAATTATTTATCTAGGTAGCAATTAATGTTAATCAATACAAACTATAAACAAAACTAATGTATCAAGTATCCCAACACCTTGGAATATAAATAATAAATTATAAAATAAGATTGGTGATGTTCATAATATAATATATAAAAATGTTAATATAGAATCTGCCTAATTTAACAATATATAACTACAATAATCAAGAAATACACAACTCAAGTATTATAAAAATATTGATTGCACCTATTTAAATTACTAGCTATAGCCTATAGGTACATATTTTTCATCTAAATAATAGTATTGGCTATTTTAATACTAAATTTTAAATGGAGTTTGATTTTATAGATACTTAATATATATATATTATATTTTTTATTTTATCACTTACCAGAGTATTATATAATAATTTTTTTTATTTATACAAAATGAGTAAATATTTTACCACATTAAGAAATGTAGGTATCAAAGTTGGCAAATTAAGTTGCCCAAAATGTTGTTTATCTTTGTTAGCATTTTAAATTACGTTAATATCTCAGAAGAAAATTTAATGATGTAGGTAATGTTGAAAATTAATTAAAACAATAAATATTAACTATTGAGCATAGGTAATTAATTGTAAATTTGAGATTGAAATTTAATTAAGAGATTTTTATCATTATTCTCACATGTTAAAATTGTAATTAGGTCAATGCTTTAAGAAATATCTATTTTGCAAATTTAAGATCTCAATAATTTGTGCATGGTTCTATATTATCTGGTTCTCAAATAATGTTTAAATTTGAATTCATTAAATGAGACTAGTAGTTATCTTAGGTTTTTGTAAATAACTTGATTAATTGTAATTTTTTAAAAACATTACCAACACTAAGAAAAAAGAAGATTTAACTTAACTTTTATCCTTCAAAAGAGTGGTGGGGCGACACATCCATTAGAAGGTATATTATTATAATAAACAAGTACCAAATAAACAATAATTATAATTTAGCAGTGTTGGGTAAGTTACTTGTAAAAAGTAATTATGTTACATTACTCGTTACTTAGAGATTAATGTAATAAAGTTACTTTACTTGTTACTCAAATAAAATTGTAATAAAATTACATTACTTTCTCATTAAAAATTTTTTTTTTTAAATTTTTTAGCAATTATAATATACCAAGCAATACCATAACTAAGTGCATTACCTATAGAAAAAAGGTATGGCTTAAAAATGCACAGTTAATACATAAGTACATAACAAAATTAATTACTTATAACTATTCAAAAATTGTAATAATTAATTGTACTTATATAAGTAAGCATAATGTATAATATGTCATAGACTCACCACATAAACCAACCTATTAAATAAATAAATAAATAACTTAATCAAAACCTTTATTTTACATTTTGTGTGTACGTTTTTTGTTTTGTGTGGCAACTCAAGCACCCTTTGAACTCACTACATCAATATTATGTTTAGCCTGTAAAATCATCATTGAACTTAAATTTTTCATAATTATTAATTTTTATTATTTATTACTAATTATTTATAGTAATAAGTTAATACATAGGAGCTTAAATAATCAAATTGACTAAACTAACCCTTCATTAGAATTATTTAATCTACCTTGATAGTTGATACCTACTTAAAATGAAAATATTTCAAACAAATTTTGAAAATAACTTAGAAATTTGAACTCAAGAAATTCTGACTAGAGCATCAAAGCATCAATGAAAATCGTCGCTCATTAGTCGTAAGATATCATTATTAGAGAAAAAAATAGGTACCTATTTTACATAAGTATTGTTTTGTCAACGTTTTCAATACGTTGCTATATAGTCACTAGATTTCAATAAAAAATTAGATTTTCAAGGTTTGTAAATCATATTTATTCCATATTAATAGTTGTTATTTGAATGCTATAATTGGTGAAATTAGTTGTTATTTGTTACTTACTTTTAAATGCTTCTTTAAATTTGATGAACTTATCTTGGATGTTGATAAAGGTTTCGAATTACCCATACACAAATTACATTTCACATGAAAAATTTAACAAAGTAACGTCGTTACAGTAACGCGTTACTCTCGTTACGTTACTACCCAACACTGTAATTTAGTATGTGATATAGGTAGGTATTGTGATAATAATATAAAGAATAAAATATAAAATGGTAAATGACTAACCGCGTTTGGAAAATCTATACCTTCGAATATTATTAAAAATGTACCCTACATCTCTTACTGTTTCCAACAGGCATCAATTTTATAAGATTTTCTCTAAATTATGTTTAGGCAGGTATAATTTAAGTAAGACTATTTAATGTGGAATTTGAAGACTGGTGTAAATTACTGGTGTCATAGGAAAATATTGCTCACAGCTAATCAAATAAATTAATTTCTGATGTGGATACGAGTGGAAGGACTGCCCGCTAAGTACCGCTCGCAGCACCGCGATATATCCCCCTCCCCCAAAAAAATTTAATTTAATTTAATTCGTTCATCTGCTAAGTTACTTCTAAATAATTATCGTAGTTCCTACTCAAAAAAAATAATAACGAAGTTACCACAATGTTACACTAGCGAGTGACGCACATAGGTTACTGCCCAACACTGGATGTAACATTATTACTATATTAATTTTTTTTAAATATGCTGAGTGCCTATGTTAATTTCCCAGGTAAACTCCATCTATAACGGCTGTAAATTATAACTCCAGTCTTAAAGAATACTTTTAAACAGTAATTGAGTAAATACGCAAGTACATTTTTTTTCAAGTACATAGTAAATATTATATTATAATCATTATTATTTTATTTATTTATTAAATAAATGCTTATTGCATTTTAGAAACATTTTATTTTATTGCATTTCAAAATGTTCGGCAGTCATAATGGCGTGTACCTACTTTTTTGTATAAAAATACATTGCCCAAAAAAAACCAAAAGTATTCAGTACAAACAATAAGTATTTAAAATACTATCGAAAGTACTCCATGTTAAAAGTATTTAAAAGTGTATTCAATGGGTACCTACCTACTTAAAAAAGTGATTGAATATTTTTACTCAAATACCTACTACATTTGCTATATTTATGTATATATCTTAATCACTTAAATACGATTTTGATCCGTTAAAAGATTAGGTATAGAGTAGAAAGGATAGACTATACGTGACACTTAAGAGGACGTGATACTTGCATGTGTTGTCTCTGTCTTACAAGTGCCTAACATTGCAAATTTTACGCTCAGCAGAACACGTGTAGCTCCGTTAGTTTAAAAATTAGTGCGAATTGACCTCTTATAAATTCTAAAGGTAAGATTATTATTTAGGCAACCCCTCATAGGTTTTTGTTATATTTTAATTTTAACTCGAGTTATGAGTATTTTAAAATTGTAAATTTTTTATACATCTTAAAATACTTATAACTCGCGTTAAAATAAAAATATAATAAAAGCCTATGAGGTTGCCTCGATAGTAATCTTACCTTTAGATTTTATAAGAGGTCAATTCACTTTAATTTTTAAATTAACGGAGCTACACGTGTTCTGCCGAGTGTACAATTTGCTATGTTACGCACTTGTAAGACGGAGGCAACACATTCGGGTATCACAATCACGTCCTCGAGTTGAGGATGAATAAAATATTCGAATTCAGACAGCAAAGATTATTATATTTAAAAATACTACAAATGACTACAAATTGACAAACACAATACCTTCAATGACTAACTACTACATAGGTATATTTTAATAACAAACTACAATATTGTTTAAAATGATTAATAATTAAGTTGTCTTAAAGCTATATATTTCGACGAATCGACTGCCTGTTACCTACAATAAGATATTGTTGAGTTCATAAAAGCAAACATTTTCGGGTACTCTGTGTAGAATCCGCTGACCACATTTTAATATAATATTTAACAATTTTACATTTCGTTCAAAATTATTAGATATCTAAAAGATAAAGATTATGTTTTCTATGTAAGAAAAAAAAATACTTATATGTGTATAGGTAATATTATGTATAAAATTGTAATTATTATGAATTAAGCCAAACAAGATAAATATATCAAACTCTAGAAAATGTTTTCGCAGTAAAAACTACTTTAAAAGTTGAAAATATTTCATTTTTTTAAAACCCGAGCAACTATTTACCAATTAATGTGTTTTTGTATATAATAATAATAATTATTGACTAATTACAACTTTACAGTTGTAGCTTTAAAAGTTTCACAGTATTATGTGAACATCTATGACATAGGTTATCTGATTATATACGTAATGTTTTAATTTTTGGTGTCACAATGAAGCATGATATTTAATAATAGATTTTTTACCGTTTTAGCTAGTTACATTTTTATAGAAAAAATTTCAAGTACACGCCTAAAAATACACTCGATTACCGGAATTGGGAAAATGCAAGGTTTGATAAAATGTATCGAGCCATAAAATATCGTTACATCTTTAATATTAATGAATTCGTCTGTGTTCAAAATGTAAAAGCACAAAATGTTACTTGTTCAGAATGAGTTAACTCACATTTATTTACCTATATTATTTTATGATTATAAAAATAGTTGGATAAAAATGGAGCTAATTTATTCAAATTTGAATATTTTCTGTAATTATTTGCATCATAATGCCACTGTGTACTATTGCGTTAATTAATTATTTAATTTGTGCTCATAATTATTTTTACTATCAATTATTTAAATTTTGATTAAGTAATTAAATAAATTGTTGAAATGAATGTTAGAAAAAAAAATATATATTATGTGGGAAAAATTGAAAAAGCGTTATAGTACTATTTAATTATAAATTATAGTTTATAACTATTGACAAATCTAAAATATCGTTTTATAATCAAATAATTGCGTTTTGAATAAAGCAAGCTGATAAAAGACAATTAAAAACAGTTTAAATGAGAAAATGTTCCCATTGAATTGATTTATTATCTCTGTAAGAAGGCGCAGTTAGTTTATGTTTTAATTGTTAGTTTTAGAATCAGAATCAATGGAACATTTTTGAATTTGGAATCAAATCTTTGTATTCCAGAAAACATAACTCTTTGTCTGGCTAGAACACCCAATTTTGCCCACGCTTCTTTGAGTATTTGTATCTATGGTGAAATTGAAATTTTGATTATTTTAGTTATTAGCCGGAAACTGAGGTGGGGTGATTAATGAATATGAAATTATGGTTTCAAATGAAATCGAACTGAAGTAAATAGTTGTTTATTAGCGTCCACTTATTTAGATATTATGTAGCTTGAAACCCGGCCAGTTTGTCAATTAGGTTTTATTATGCAACGTATCCTTACGAAAGGTAAATGTACCAATCTATGGCCAAGAGTTTCTAAAATCTGAAATACCTGTCGATGAAAATGACACTAACGTAAAAGAATTTTTGTTGTAAAATGACGAATTGAGCACTTTATGGGAAAATGTTTGCACCTGTAGATTGTTATTTTATACTGTCGAGGGACATACTGCGGAAGGAATTAACTTAATATTTTATGTACCCAAATATGTAATGAATGTATTATGTGTTCGGAACGATTGTTAGGGGTGAGGACGACAGCGGATGTGAGATGAACGGGAAATAAATTTTTTTTGGTGACATATCTGTCATTACTTATCGTAAGTGCATGAAGGAGGAGTGGGGTGAAGAGATAAGACACCGTTCATCCCAAAAGTCTGTACAAGATGTAAGGATAGGAGTGGTGATGCTGCTTGGGGCGAACTATGTGACGGCTGCGGTTGGGGTGGTCGGTATACGCGTCGTAGTTGGCCATTTTCCGGTGGTTAGTGGGAGCGGCGGTTGTGGTGGCAGCAACAGTGGAGGTGCTGGCAGTGGGGGTGATGGTGGAGGTGGTCCTGGCGGTCGTAGTGATGGCGGCGGTGACGGTGGCGGCTTCCGCGGCGTTTGCGGCCGCGACATCGGTAGCGGTGGACGTGACGTCAAAGGCGGCAGTCACGGAGGCAATGGTCATGGTGGCAGGGGCAGCCTCATTGGCAGTTTTGGCGGGCAGGGAAGACGGGGACGACGGGATGAGGTTCCAGTTGTTGGTATCGTCATCTGATTCGTCGACGGCAACGGATGGTGACGATGTGTCGGATACCATGTTAGTGGTAGCTGTTTCGGTGGCTGCGGAAAATGTACCGTTGTTGAGTGCAGGTCTGGTAGAAGCGCTGATGGTGGTAGAAGCGGCCATGGGCAGCGGTGTCGAATACCGCGTGGTCGCCACATTGTTACCGTTTCTGGTCACAGGGCTGGAAATTGTGGTGGCTGAAGTGCTGGAGAATGGGATGGCCGTAGGCTTGCGCACGTAATCGCTGTCGTCGCTGATCGGCAATCCCGGGAAATCGATTTTCTTATACACGTGAATCGGTGGCTCGGTGGTCAGGGCGTCCTTCGTAGTGGTCACGCCTCCAACGCCAAAGTTGGAGTATGACCGCAACGCTTTCAGCGGACGGCCGGTAGTGCTGGTGGTCGAGGTGGAGGCCACAGTGTACGGTATTTTGGCCACGACCGTCGCGATAGCTGCCAGCGTGGCAGCGGTTGGCCGGCGACTGTTAACCCGGTGGACGTCACCGGTCTCGGCGGTCAATATTTTGGCCACAGTGTGTATCTTTTCGGTGGTCGTAATCTGTACGGCGGGCCGGCCCTTGGGCAGGGTGGTGGTGGTGGTGGCGTAGATGGGAGTGTTGGCATTGGTATTGGCTGTGGTTGTGGAGGCTGAGTTTCCACGTTGCTGATGATGATGATGACTGTTACTGGTAGTGGTCGGGGTTACAGTCGGCTGACCGCCGCCGATCAAAATGCCGCCAACGGTTGTCGCAGTGCTGCCCGTTGTGCCGGTTTTCGTGGCTGAGGTGGTAGCTTTATTCACTGTGGTGGCATGTGTGGTGGTGCCGGACGCCGTGGTATAAGTGACCGAACCGGTGTGAGTAGTAGTCCCGGTAGCGGTCGCGGTGGTTGTAGGCGTCATAGTGGTCGTTTGTTTCATGGTTATCGTCGATGCAGTTTTCGGTTTGCTTTTCGGAGTGGTGCTGGTAGTGCTGGTAGTGCTAGTGCTGGTTACGGTGCTTGCGCTGGACACAGAGCTGGTGGTTCTAGGGCTAGTGCTAGTGCCGGTGCTAGTGCTGCTAGTGCTGGTGCTGGTAGTTTTGACTTGGCCACCGATAAAAGCCGAATCAATACCATTGGTGTCGAAACTTCCTCGGCCCGAAGACTTAATTGGTTCTTGGGCGATCGACATTTCTTGTGGCAAGTTGATGATGCCGCGTCCCATCACTTTAGATATCGACTGGAACGTTTCATCGTTGTATTGAGCAATCGTGGCCATCTCGATGGCGTAGTCTTCAACGTCTGAAAGGATTTAAATATTTATTTATTTATTCAAACGTCTTATGTGACTAATACTAGTTTTAAATATAAGTATAACAACAAAGGTGGCTTTAAAAAAAAAGTGAGAGACGTAGAATATTAATCCGTTTTATATTTTCGGGAACACGATAAATATGTCCAAAGATATTAACATTTTTCAGTGATGGGGAAGTTACATTTTTTAGTAATTAAATTACATTACGAATTACCTTTAAAAATTGGAATTAAATTATTCCCAAGTTCCTTTTATGTTTTTTTTTTGGTCATGAACATTACTTTTGAGTTTTAGTTAAAAAAATATTTTACTACAATCAAAATTACTTTGTATTTTTTATATTCAAAAATCTAAATGGAGCTTAATAATTTCTTTGTTCTTAGTTATTACATTAGCTATAAGTAATGACAACTGAAAATATGAAATAATTTAAAATGTTTAATTAAGAACCTAAGAAAACAATGATTGTCTAATACATTATTCTTCATTTTTTAAACTTTATTTTAAATTAATAATTTAAATTTACAACTTCTTGCCAAATAGATATTACAAAAATGTTAGGTAGGAACTTTCGGAAAATCGTATTTGCCTATAAAACATAAGTTAAATATTATGAATTGGTTATTAAAATGTATTAAAAGAAATTTAAGTGACGTAAGTAAAATTTTAGTAATTTTATTACAAATAAGTATCTTAAACTACGCACAAATTACTTAGAATAAAATGTAATTAAATTTCCATTGAACTACTTTAGAAGTATTTTGTTACAGTAACTTGTAATTTAAGTTAAGATGTTAAGTTTTTTCATGCTCTTGTTGTCATTATATAGGTGCATTGAACTGAAAATTGTAAATTTTGAATTTGCTACGTGCGGTATCGGTATGCTAGAAAAAAGATGAATATTTTTGTATTTTTCCGAGTTACAACTATGCTGAATGAAATTCCAATTTTATATAATGAATGCATCACTAAATTAACAGTCACGGATTTGAACAAGCAAAACGAACAATTAAATTGTTGGTGTCTCGAGAATTGGCAACGGCATTATGACGTGTTTTGTCTGAAATGACTTGTATTTTAGTTGGCATAACCTAGTTTGATTTGTAATTTGAGTTAATTTTATATTTCCTACACGCCCAGATCTAGGTACTGTCTTTATTTCTATGATTTTGCATTATGAGGAATTTTAGGACGAAAATTCTTAAATATTTGAGATGTAACTAACATCATTATATAGTGTCATTATACCTACATTGTAAATTAAATACTCGATCACAAAAAAAAATTAAATTTACTTAAATAATATTAATGTTTTTATATTTAATGGATTTAAAATAAATCATTTTGATTCGTTAATTTGTTTTACAATAAATATTATTTTAAATATGTCTATTTTTTCCTTATCAATACCTAAGTATCCAAATATCTAACATAATTCAGTACCAAATTACCTTAATTAATCCTATTGGTAACCAAAATATGTTGTATGGATAACATTGGTTAAACAAAATAACAGCCGTTATGTTTATTTTGCTAAATTGGGCTTACGACTGAAATATTACCTGATTCTGAGCTTGAGGTCGTTGTTTTTAACTTTATATCAACTATTTCAGGTTTGACAGGTTTGAATAACGTCTTCAGTGGTTTGTTAGAATTCGGACAGCTTAACTTTTCGATTATTTCCGATTGTTTCTAAAAAATATAATACATAAGTTTAGTAAACACATCGTACAATATTGTAGGTGCATACAAATGAACAAAAAATAAGTTGAATACACTTTAATGTATTTGGTTATGACATGTGTAGGTACCTATAAATTAATGTAAAATACAATGTTATCGAACTATCTAGGCAGGGCTCTAAAATCAAATGGAAATTAAAATTAAATTCGAAATAATAAATTAAGTTTCTGAATAAAAATTAAATAATTTTTCTGATAGAATAAAATATGTAGGTACGTTGGTACTTATAATAGTTTTTTCTTCCAATAGCATTTAATGATATTTAATTTCTTACAAAAATGATTTAAGTGTTCCTACCGATAAGATTATCTATAATAGTTGATGATAGTAATGAAGATAATCAATATTTTTTGTGTTTCATTTAAAAATCCGTGGGTGAGTAGGGGAACTCGTGATGAGAATCTTAAGATTTGCTGCATGGGTACTAAATTTTTAATGGTCATCGTTTGGAAAAAAATCAAAGACACTCTTTAAGTGTAAGTAGTAAGAAAGTGATGACCCATAAATGTACAATTATGTTTCCCAGAAACGTATAGCTCCTTTTGTACTTCCAACCACAGCAGTGTTATTTTTAGTTTTATAAATTTTATTTTTTGAATTTTATTTACTTGGTGTGTAACAAAACAATAAAACATTAGTGCACACACGAGGAAATTAAGCTAATAATAAAACTGTAGGTATACGTAAAATGGTTACTCTTCTGATAATGGCAAAATAAATTCCATATAATTAGGTGTATTATAAAATCTGTAATAATGTATACCTACATTAATAAAATATACATTTGATGTAAATTGCTTTGAACAGTATATTAAATAATTGTCAAAACAAAACAAACGCAAGTGTGTGTAAAAACTAATAATAAAAGTAGGTACGTACTATTTTTTATATAATACAAATAATTATATAAATTATTTAGGTACACTCTTACACACGAACGGTGCAATATATAACATGGTACAACATGGTATAATATGTAAAATGTTCTATGTACATGGCATAATATATACGATGTACATGGCAGAATTTATTCAATGCAGATACATGTATAGTAATATGCATATACACGGATAGGGTAGCTTATTTTGCCGGGCTGAATAATTCGATATTGTTCGCATTACTCTGTACATTCTGAAATTGTTTTAATTAATTTAGCAAAGCTAATAAATAACAATTATAATCATATCAAATTAATCGTACATTTTGAATAGAGGCTTTGTCTATACTCTATAGGTACACCTCATAAAATTGTAAAACCACGGTGAAAGTTAATCAAATCAATTCAGATTTTATCATACGTATAATAGGTAGGTACCTACAAAAAAAAAAATAATAATAATAATGTAAATCGTATATTATTCCTCGCTGGTAAATTAATTCTGTATTTAAAAAAATTTTTTTTTTTTCATTGAACATATTATAAAGACTGCGGCAGCTCTGACCATTAGTCTGACAGTGACTTAAATTATATCATAATGTGGAGGGTTGGAATCAGGAAATACACATACTTCAATAAAATACAAAAATAATAATATAATAATATGTATAATATTATGTGGTAAAGGCTTACACATTTTTTTTTTTATTTATCTATTATAGTAACTAGTAAGTACCAATAAAATATAATAATATGCATTATGTAATATAGGTACCTATACTTACTATTTAAATTTAAATTTAGAGACTGATTGTTGATGTAATGATATGGGATATGTGTTCGGGTTTCATTTTTATTTTTTAATCAATTAACTATGAAAATGTTAAATTATGACCAGGTATGGAAAGTATAAACCCAAAATTTAAGTAAAATTAGTCATGACTAATGCTATAGGCACTTATCACATTTTAAAATTGTTATCAAGAACAATTATTTTTTTAATATAACTGACTGTATTTTAATTTAAAATATTTTGACTACAACAAACCATGTTTCCTTTGCAAGTAACGTTTTTGGAAACACCTGGACTGCATTCCTTGGTGAGTTGAATGGCAGGACGTTCCGGCAAGAAAGTGACTGTCATACCTTCCATCATACTTGTCATGCAACCATTGCTCTTGGATGCCCAATATGGAACTATAGTTATAAAATATTGTATTAATATATGTTTAAAAATATATTTATTTTTTGTTACTTTGATATTCACAGCCCGAATCGGAAAATATATGTGTAAAAGGATGGGGGTTCTTAGATACAAACAAATAATGTCCATTTCAATTATTTAACTCAACCTAACCCTTTAATAACTCAGTGTACCCATAGTGTGAGGGGATATATCACCCTACATTCCCTCCACATAACTTATCTGCATAGCAAATAATCAAAATAGCATGTACAGAATATAAAATGATGCAATCTATAGGAATACAAAAACTATATAAACATTTTTTTTTAAATTTTAGTACCAGTTTTTGTACTTAAAACCCATCATAGTTAATATGAAAAAATAACGTAAAAAATAATGTAAATAATGTAAAAATAGTAAAAAGTTATAAATGTAAATATAAAAAATACTATACCTAATCATAATATTATTATGCTAAAAATATGCATTTATTTGCTTGGTATACACTTCAAATTTAATACAATTAAAAAAATTGTATTTAATTAGATATTAATATATTATTATTTAGAAAAGAAATCGTCATATTCAGCAATAACATTATCAGTCTAGTACTCTAGTGTCTACAAATATTTCAAATGTTTGAAAATGAATTATTATATCTGACTGATAACGAATATACCTAATATTTAACTAACGATTATTGTAGGCCGTAGGTAGCAGTGGGGAATTTAGAGTCTGTAAGGACTGTGGGTTTGCTATTTTTAAGGGGCTACTTTTTAAACCTAAAAATTAGGATCATTTATTTTTAAACAATTATTTGTAACTTTTATTGAAAACACTGAATAACGTTTTTAATTGTATTATTTAAAAGATAACATTCAAACATTATTTTTATTTATTACATTTGGGTAAGGTTTTAATGATTTAATAAAAATATATAGGTAATATATCTTTTTTGCAGTGCCTTTATTTATGCCTACCGAGTATCTCCAGGTTTGACAAACTTTCTCCAGCTATAGTTAAACAGAGACCTATTTCAATTAATTTTACCCAACTAAAACTCCTCTCAACTGTGTCACTATTCACGAGTAGTGTTTAATTCACTTTTGTGTAAGGCGGAGTGGGTGGACAACTTTGGACAGAATAAAATCAAAGTAAGACTTCATTAGTTAAGTATCTTCAGTTTATATTTATTTGATAATAAATAGAAGAAAAAGATTTATAATCCGATATTAGATCATCTTGATCACTATTATTTTTATAGATTTCAGCGAGTATTTTAAGTGCACCAATTAAAGATCGGGTTCATTGTGTTTTTATCCTGCAAAATATTAAAACGTCCTTAATTATTCTTCTTGCTCTATCTGAAAGTCTGGAGGACAAGATTTTTTTTTTGAGATGGTTGAGATAGCTCCATACTTTGTTGAAACTTGAATTAAGTTGATTAAGTAAATTAAAAGAAACATAAAACTCTGTTTAAAGGATTTATGACGGTAACTATCAGGTAGTCAACAATTCTGAAACAACGCTGAATACAGAACGATCCAACACGATTAATGATCAATTTTGGTTTTGTTTTTATTATTATTTATTATTCTATAAATATAACATTTTGTCAGTTCTGTGGACTCAAACTTTCGATTAAGTTATTTATGTTGGTCAGAGGGTATTTGTACTATTTTTTATATGTTCCTGTAATGTTTTATTTTAATGTCAATTGTATTACAATATTTAGATTAGAAACCTAGAACCTAGAAATATTGTATTTCTCTATAGTCCATGCCCAGCGTTAATTATGTGATTGTAAAAATAGTTTATATGTATATTGTATAATAGGTATATATACACGGCCCACTGATTTGTAAATTTACACGCATTGAGTTAAATTTCACGTAAAATATGTATCAGATTTCCTGGGAAATTTTACCAACAAAAATTAATTGTGGGACAGATAACTTCTTAATCAAAGTTATCGAAATACGTTAACACAATCAAAATATTTTCAAAATATTTAAACTAATTTGAAGCCATTTAAAAACATTTAAATGTTTTAATTTTATGTTGATAAGATGTCTGTTCCTTGATAAACGAGCTTGACAATTTAATAAATAGTGTTGAGGTTCTGCATAACACTTAGTTAAAAAAATGAAAAATATATGTGTATTCATATTATGTAGTTAAAATTTTTCAAATCCACAAAAAATTGCCAATTTACTTCGTTGTTAAATGTATAACATTTTCCAATTAAATACCTAAAGCTTGAATATTCAAGCTACAATTACACGTTTTGTTATTACTGTATACGGTATAGGTATGGTCATTAAAGGTGAGCTTTCGAGATCTAAACATTTTGTGTGTACCTTTGAGCTCGTTAAAACAAATTAACTATACAAATCATTTTTTTAAAAATTAACTTAATACTAAATTATTTACCTGGGAGTTCGCAAACGAAAGATGCTACTTCAGGGCCTCCACAATGTAAGCTGTGCCATTTGAAGTTGGCCGTAGGGTCAGTGACGACGCAAACTGGGTCCGATGAACGTGGAACTTCTTCTCTAAAGTAACCGCTTCTTGCAAGGGGCTGGTAATTGCTGTGCGTATAAATGTAATTAGAAGCCAATGAATAATAAACAATCGATAATTTTATATAGTTACAGATGAGTTAAGTTCATTTATAATTGTGATAATTTATGGTTTAATTTTAATTTTCAAGTTTAATTATACATTATTGTAAACATAATATTATCGTCGTATGTCGATTTTCAAAAGATCGTCATACGAGTAGAATAATTGTTTTCAGATATATCAAATACTCACGTCCATGTGAATTCACTAGCCTCGCTGTTCCGTTTCAAACCAATCCAAACATTCTCGATCACGTCTAATTCCTTCAGATAACTACGTATTGCCTCAAACTGACTGTTGGATTCAACTGTAACAGAGTTAATAATACATGAAATTTAAACGTACCATCTAAACTGTATTTCAGTTTTAAAATAATCATTATTAAAATTTCATTTCAGTTAAAATTATAGTAATAACATAGTATATAAGACATAGCTGATATATCAAAGCCACGATTAGTTATTTGAATAAAACATTAAATATTATTTTAAGAAAATAACTGTTCAAAGCACATTCATTACTTTGAAGAAATATTCTTATAACATTTACCAATATTATATTTTTGTAAAATCATCTAAAGGTCTCATTTTATTGAGATGGAGTTCCTTATTTTTTTTTCTTAAAATGTTAAGTAACTATATAAAACCAACCAAAGGAAAAGTACAAAGTTAAACGTTTACATTGAAAATGAAAATTTTTTAAATGCCTTTGCAAAAATAAACAATATTTGTAATGAATTTTACTTTTGATAAGAAACATAATATAAAATATGTGTATTTTAAAAATGTTATACTATTGTAATGCAATCTTTACACAACTACACTTTTTAGTATTATACATAGATTATAGTTCGTTAAATACATTTTATAAATTACGATACTATAGAATTTAAAAATATAAAAAATAAAAGATACGAAATAATGAACCAACAGAAAATTATAATACTAAATACATTTAAATCACAGTTATTTTTTTCGTTTACCTAGCGAAATTATATATACAACAATAAATTATAATACCGGGTAGGATATTTAAATATTATTACATTTTAATTTATAGCAGGAACATTTTTTTACCCATAAAAACGCATATAGATATACCTCTTAACTTATAAATATTTAAATTTATTACATTCAGTGATTCGGAAAAAACCATTTGTTTCTGTAAAGTCAAATTGTTTGTTTCAGAAATCAAAAAAGTTTACGTACCACAAGAAGAACCCCATTTCCACTTCATTATTGTCTTGAAAATATGACATCTTATATAAAATACTACATATTATTGTGTATAAATGCAGATAAATTATAATAATATGTTAAAAATTAAATTATAAATGTAAATACTTCTTTTTCAGCATTAACTCGTCTTTAATGATCGTGTTAAAAAAATATCATTTTTGCTTTAAAATGTAGTCTAACGAAACTCTAAAGCAAACTCTTATCCATTTTAACAGTTATTATTATCCGATGTCACTTTTATAGGATTAGTGCCTATATAGAACGCCAGTTAAAAACTTTGCTCCTTTTCCCTCCCCTACTTATATCTATCAATAATTCATCTACCCTGCCCCGCGTCTTAAAAGTTCTCTTCAACTTCTACTAATTGAAATAACCATATTGCGTGTATATTTGGGATTAGCATGTTATTTCCTATAACGTAACATAATATACACAATAATGTACCTAAATGTATAAATCCAATTCTTTGTCGACGTTCTGTTATCGTTTTGTTTTTCCAATTGAGTTCCGTTGTCAATTATTAATAATAAAGTTATCGATCGAGAGGGGCGGCTTATCATTGAGTTAAATATAATAGTATTATAAATCAATTATTAAATTAATTTTAGGGTCGAACCCGTCTTCATTGTAAGGTACCAACTGACCTAACTTGACACTGGTATAATTTTCACCGATGTACTTATGTAGGTATTTAATATTTATTTATGCAATTGTAAAGATAGTGAGCTGTGGCAATTATAACTTATAACTTATAAGTCAAATTATTTTGCGAAAAAAAAAACATAACTCGGATAATTCGACCCATGGACAATTTGGCGCAAAATAATTCTACATAGAGACAAATTTCCTACGTAATTTATAAAATGACATGTTTTCTGCAGCTGCTTGTTTTCATTATACTTTCTACGTGTTCGCATTATTGGTTATCTCTCATAACAATAATATCGCATTGTTACTGATTTACACACGTCATATCCATTTGTATACATGTCGCATCCACTTATGAACATCCATTGCATGAGCTACGAACATGTCATGTGTGACAAACTTAGGTAATGGAAACCCTTATTTTACACTTTGTGTATAGTATTTTAAATCAATTACATCATAAGCACTGATAACTTCTCGTGAAATCGAAACAATAACATCGGATCATATCGTATTATAAAATTAATTTTATATTACAGTTTACTATTGGACTGCGTAGTGTATGATGAAAAAATATAACTCTAGTTAGCATTTCAATTAAATTGCATTTTTGAACGTTTAAATATATTTATTAATCATTAATATTTCCTTTGTCTTATTATTTAATATTTTTTATGACAAAAAGTAGTATTATGGTGACTTTTGCCTATTATTTTTAAGCTTTAATACAGTCACAACTTTTTATTTCACATTGACGTTCAAAAATAAAACTAAAAAAAAACCTTTCTTCCCCCCGGAAATATGACAAACTGTTTCACGCAATGTAAGTTTTTTATCGATATTAATTTGGCGATTTAAAAAAATAAATGTCACATTTCTTAAGCTGTACAACTCTTTTAATAAACCATATTCAGTTAAGAGTTTGTGAAGTTCATCCTCGTCGTGATAGACAAAAACTGAGTAACTTTATTGTTGGGATCTGACGGTTGTCCATTTACTTTACTATTCTACTGAGTACCTACTGTTATTAAGACGCAATCGTAAATGTACCCATAATATGATGTATTTAATTAAAAATATTACACAGAGTGTGAAATAAGGGTTTATATTTCATGAAATTTATAAAATATGTATATGTAAATTTCGTGATCCTAAATTCAGCGCCTGAGATATGATCGTAGTTACACGATTACACTTAGCGGATTTAACAAAAATATTAGTGTAGTCCTCACACGATAACATTTTACAATTCATAATAATTTATGATTAGCTTCGACGTCATCATTATTGCTCGGGATCGACGATTTGGCTTTGAATTTGGTAGTTGTATACCACGACGTGCCTGTGTGTCACTGTATGAGTTATTTTTTTATGGTTTTATAAATTTATCAAAATTGAATTACATCGAAATTGAAAAAGAGCACGATGCCGTAATATGTTAATAAATCAAGGTTTTTTTTGTACTAAAAAGCTTTTTTTTTTCTCAATTATTTATGAACATTTGAGTGAACAATAAAATTTTATATTGACTATTAAATATGTACCAATTGCGTTGTTCAAAGTTTAATTGTCCATTGTACAAGTTATTCATTTTCCTCACGTCTATAAGTTTGTAAGTTAAATTGTTCACGCGCCCAATTTCCGAGGCCAGTGGTCGGTGGTTAATTGTTCTGCACCTAATTATTAAAATCATTTTCTACAGGTGTGCGTGAACAAAAAAACGTAGAAAATTGATTCCAAAAATATTAAGGGAAATTTTTCAAAATTGACGATAAAAATATTGTAGGAATGGTATAGACCGGCATACATGTGGTAGGTACACTTCGAACAATTGATATTATTTCCACACAAACAATACTCATTTACCTACCTGTTCTTATTCGTCATTTCCATTTTAATATTTCTTTCTTCAAGTAGATCTATGTATAATATTGTGTTTCCCGTGTTAAATTGTATGAATGTGTTACAACACGTTTTAATGATGTGCTCAATTTAAACTTTAAATCATCTATCTACTTCATTATTAAACTTAACATTATTACACATAGTAAAAGTGAGATTTTTCCCAGTATTGTTTTTTCACCGTCGATTCCTAAACAAATGATATATTTTTCATTTACTTTTATATCTACTAAACTCCTTATTGTAGATATTAAACAGACTATATAGCGTGTTCGTGACCATAATTTACAATAGTATAATATCATTATTGCAGGTGCCTGACGTAATATATACGACTGTATCCAAATTTATTAAGAAATATTTCAACTTACAAGTTATGATTTTTCGAAGAACATATATGTAACCGTGATTTACAATTTAAATATACATTAAAAAAAAAACGTTTCTGTGGACGAACTGTGTACCTACTTGATCCAACAAATTCATAAAAAGCAATAATCTACACTGTTGTAAAAAATAAAACGAACAATTCATCTCTAATTATAAAATATGACTTTTAGTTTATTTGCAGGTACAACGAACAACGATCGTTATCGAATTTTTATTTTAGGTACAACGTAACAATTATGGAAAATGGCGAATAACTTTTATTTTAAGGGTCACCATATCATATCAGCTTATTTTTCGTTGTTATTTGCGATTTAAAACAAAAGTAATCAATATTTTGTAATTTTCACCGACCGCAAAATTCAATTTGCACTTTAACCGCGTGTATTACTATATTGTATTCCGTCGGCGTTTTATTACATTTTACCGTAAAATTTAGTACTACTACACGGCAACCTTCGCTATACTTATTATAAGTATTTATTAGTATTATCTCCATTGTCTTATCCTTTGAAGTTATAGAAACAAAGAATAAAATAATTCACTAAGCCATCGTTGTAGTGGTAATTGGTATATATATATATACGCACTCAACATTTTAGCATCGTATTTTAGAGCCACGAATGTAATAATTTCACAATGATGTGTGTTTTTAAATTATTTTTTTTTGTGTCTATAGTCACTTGAATCACCTTCAAAAATATTAATTGAAGAACTAGAATATTTCCTCTTAAATTATCCTTTTCTGTACTCAAAACAATTTCAAAATATACTCACTAAATTTCTATACTAGATTCTACCTAAGTGCATTTTTAATTTGTTTTTATTACTGTGTTGATAAAACATTTTAGGACAAAACCTTGTCAGCTCGCTTGTAATTTTAAAAATAAGATTCTTCAAATATTTGTCTTGAAGAAACTTGAAATGATTAATTCACAGACATAAGACTTTTGTAAGCGTTTAAAATTCAATTTTTGACTAACTCGGGTTCATTTGCAAATTAATTTTATACAATTTTTATTTTTTATTGCTTGACAATTTAACATAGGGTTCAAAATATGTATTTCTTACTTTAACCCAAAAGTTTGAAACATATAAATATATAATACAAGCACAATTTTATTTTAAAAAT